TTCGATGGAAAAATTATTCCGCTCTCGAGCTATCTCGGAAACGAAGCTGCAAATGGAGAATCCTCGGGATCCGTGACTCTTTGGAATTTTTATTAAGCGATCGCTTGCGGGAAAAACAATGATCTATAAGTTGAGAAGGTTTTATTATAAGGGAGATTAATTTTTGAACGTGAGGAATGGGAATGGAGGAACTTGTGTTTGGAGAAGATTCTGCTGGGTTTGGGAATTTGCCAATTTTTGTACTTATTCTAAACTATGAATCTCTCTAGATGCGAAAGAAAATAGTCTCATTGTAAAATATACTGAATTAAAAATTTCTAAGTCTAAACTATAAATCTCTGCAGATGTAACAAAAGATAGTTTCATTCTAAAATACATTGTTCAGAATTTCGGAAAATTTTTTGTCTTAAAATGTTTTATTGTCTAATTCTAAACTATAAATCTCTCTGGATGCAGCAAAAAATAGTTTCATTCTAAAATACATTATTCAGAATTTCTCGAAATTTGTCGTCTTAAAATGTTCTATTGTCTAACTTCAAACTGTTAATCTCTCTAGATGCAATCAAAAAGTAATTTAATTCTAAAATACATGAAATTCAGAATCTCTCAAAATTTTTCCAGCCACTTCGATCAAAAATACTCAGCAAAAATTTCCAGCAATCTCCTGCACTCCCTCCATCAACCAGTACCCCAAATTTCCCCTTATCAAGCACACCCCACTTTTTTACTCCCAACAATTACCAGCGGACCACGGTTTACAACTGCAATCACACAAACACTTCTAAACCCAAACAACCCCTCTTCACATTAAAAAAAAAAAAAACAATTTCTCCTAGCAACCGACCGAACAACTAAATCTAAATCCTCAAAGAACCTCGTCAAACCACCAACCTCGTTAACGCTAGATCCTAAACCGTGCTCCGCTAGACACCCATGCAACAGAAACGCTCTAACGATCCTCCCCCGTGGCAAATTCCAGGAGCTGGACCTCGAGAGCTGTCCGAAGCCGATCGTGTTCGTTCTGCACAACTTCCTGTCAGCGAAGATTCACCGGCTGGGCCTGAGCGCATAGGGGTACGAGGGGGCCCCGACGGAGGCCCCCGACCTGCCACCACACACCACCAGGTCCGTCACTAGCGCCTTCCTTCACTGAGCCCTTCCATCGAGAAATTCAAACAAAAACCAGCCCATCCAAACGAGAACCGATAACGGAAGAAGAAGAAGGGTGGCACAGGCAGGACAGACGAACGACTCGACGAACCATCGCAAACATACAGACACACACACACACATACACCACTCGACGGACCACAAGGAAGAGCAAACTTCCATTAAAAGGAGAAGAAACGGAGAGAAAAAGAATCCAACCCTGGAGATCGGTAATATTTAATACATTTAAATCCAGGAATAAAAAAAAAACAATTCACTCGCTCTTCCAAACCGTTCTATCCAGTCTCTAACGTCACCGACAACACTTAATTCAATTATTCAGAGGCGAATTAGACGGGTGCACGAGCGAGGGATGTGCGAGAGAAAGACTCTCTGGACACTGTTCAGACACTGAAAGTATATTAAAAAAAAAAAAAAAAAAAATGAAACAATTGAGTAACGATCGGAATAAAAGAAATTTTGTTCGATCGAAGCCATCCAACGCGCGATTTTTTTCCCACGGAAAGTAAAACGCACGCAACAAGTAGGCTAGCTGATGAGAAAGGATGTCGCTGAGAGGGAGTCGTAACTAATCAACGCGCCTAAGTAACCGATTAAAACTATCTACCTAAAACGCTAAGTAACGAAAGAGAGTGTGCGAGAGATTGCGTGTGAGCGAGTGAGAGAGAGTGTGTGCGAGAATAGGTGTATTTAAGCGGAGAGTGAGAGCTCCGATCGAACGCTCGGTCCTGGAGAACCCAGCGGAAAGAGCTAATCAATTACTGTCCAACCGTCGCTCGTTGGCTCTGGTACCAGAGGATCGAACGACTCTGCGATCCTCCGACCTCTCTTCTCTTATAAACAAACCTTCGAGGATACTCTTTCTGCCGGTGAAATAAGGGGAAGACTGGTGGCGAGGAGAAGTTACCGTGTCAAAGTGGAGAGAGTACTGGTAACGTCTACAAGCGGCCACTTTAAAGTGTTGCGATGTACATGGCCGTTTCTACCTGCCGCAGACGAAACTTTCGGATACCGGAGGATGTTCCTGGACGTTTTACCGATTACAGGTGAATTATTTGCTACCTTTCTCTGCGAGTTTTGGGAAACTTCAAGGTGGAGGCAGGTGATTTATTTCAGCATTAAAATGTAGGTTAATTGATCTTTTTTAAAGAGCGACATTTTGGGGGAAATTTGACACCTGGAGACAGGTGATTTTGCGGAAGATCTATTGTTGTGTCGGAAAGTAGGTCGATCACTGGTAATTGATTTTTTTCAAAGAGTGACATTTTTGGGGGGAAATTTGACACCTGGAGACTTTGGGAATTTAGAATTGTATGAAAAAGTAGGTCGATTTTTTCTCAAAATGTGGGACATTCGTAGAAAATTTGGGACGTGGAAACGGGTGATTTTCTGTATAATTGTCGAACGTCTGGAATCTAGGAAATTTAGCGAAATAGATGTTTAGAATAATGCTCGGGCGATCGAAGGTGCGAATTTAGTGGAAATGCTAGCCCTGGAAAATAGGTGAATTGGATGAAAATTCTCTCGGTACTTGTTACTCGCCATCGGATCTTCCGAACGATCCAGCCTGGAAATTTCTACGAAATTTCCCGAAGGAAGGAAGGAGGGAAGAAAGGAAGGGTTCCGAAGATCGAATAAATTCGAGCGGAGGGGTGAAACGAGGGACAGGGTCGAACAGTATCGATCCCAGGCTCGCGAACGAGCGGACCAACGGGCGCGCGTTAATAGTTGTTTTGTACGATTCGTATTCTTAACGCGAGTAAGTGTAAGATGCCAAGAAACGTCGATGTGTATACTGGTAGCCGAGAGTCTCCTCGATTCTGCCTGTTCCTCGTGAGGAGAGCCCGAATTTCTCAGACTCATCTCTAACCAACTCTTAAAACCATCGTTTCCTCAAATTTTGCACAGTTTGAAGAAATCAGAGACTAACAGAAAAACGACTGTTCAAACGATCAATTTCATCAAAATTGTACTCAAAATATTAACGAAGAAATGAAACACCGAAGGGTGTAAAGAAATTACTGGTCACGGCTCCAGGGGGTGAATCTACACCCTTGGATCGGTGGACATTTGTAAAAAAATGTTTCCGCAGAATTGTTTATAACATTGAAAATTAATGTAAAATGTTTTTTTTACATCAACGTATTCTGCTCGACGAGAAGAGAAAAAGTCTGAAAGGGGCCATATGCCGGAAATAAATAGTTTCCGAGATAAACGTTGATAAAATTTGGCAACGATTTGATTGTGTAGAGCTAGGACCTACTGACCTACTAACACTCTGCCATTTGGTAGGATCTAGCCGTGTAGGACACGCTCGGTATAATGGTGTGCGTGCCCCTACACAAACGCCGTTTAACACGTTCGTCGTCACGTCACCCATATCTGGGTGACGGGTATGCTTCCGTGGGGGCCCCATCACCCAGATATGGGTGACGTTCTTCTTCGTCAAGTTAAATAGGATTTCACAAGTAATTTATAAAAATCCATATAACACAAGAATTTAATGGAACATCACACTATATTACACTATACATTAATTTATATTTAAAATAAAATACAACATTATACTACGTAGCATGGTATTCGTTAAAACAGTTGGAACACATTTCTGGTGATTTTGGACAATTGGGACAATACGTTGTAGTCTTTTTTACATTTTTTCTCGCTTCCTGGCGTTCGAGAATTTGTCTCCTCCTGGTAACATAGAACGCAAATTCCAGCTAATCGCTCTGTTTACGTTCTTGCGCTCCGACTATCGGATTTTGGGCCCCGCGAGAAACTCGACCGATTCACGCTGGGCGACGAACGTTTTAAAGGGACAGCAAGGTCTAAACTCGAAGGCAGGCCCGAACCAAACGGCGTTTGAGTAGGGGCACGCACACCATTATACCGAGCGTATCCTACACGGCTAGGTCCCACCAAATGGCAGAGTGTTAGTGGGTCCTAGTCTATCCGTATAGCTCTGCACAATCAAATCGTTGCCAATCTTTATCAACGTTTATCTCGGAAACTATTTGTTTGCGACATATGGCTCCTTTCAGACTTTTTCTCTTCTCGTCGAGCAGAATACGTTGATGTAAAAAAAAAAATTGAACATTAATTTTCAATGTTATAAACAATTTTGCGGAAACTTTTTTCTACAAATGTCCACCGATCCAAGGGCGTAGATTCACCCCCTGAAGCTGCGAGGCTTTAATTTTGTTACACCCTGTACATTGAGAAAAATAATCAAAAAACTCTTATCATCGAGCATTCCCGAGAAGCAGCAGCTCTCGAATTGTAAATAATCCGTCGATACGATATTTCTCAACTTTCCACTCTCGATCCATCCCTCGTGAACCAGAAACAAGCTACGAACAGCGTGTCCCGTTGAATCACAAATTACTATCCTCCCACGGAGAAAAGGCTCGAATCGAAGGACAGACCAGCAGAATTGTTCGCATTACGGTGGCTGCTATCGATGCCGAAGAATGAGTGAGAGTCGTGTCCGTGTAAGAGTGTGAAGCATTTCCTTTTCATCCGTTCTAAGAAGGAAAGAGAGGAGAGACACTCGATAGGGAGAGAAGCGTTGTGACTCGTGGTGGGGTGAAGGAGGTAAGGAAAAAGAAAAATAGGAGGCCGTGCGATAATAAAGAAATTTCGACATTAAGTAGAACATATCAACGAAGCCACGTACCATTGATTGTGTCCATTTCGTCGTCTGACTGTCGTTCCTTTCGCGGCGCCGACAATTCAAGATCCGACGTCTCGAGTCGCGAGACCAGCCGGATAAACCGAACTGTACGTGTACATAGAAATAGATACTTTCCTCCCGGTTGGACGATGTTCGAGGAGGTTTCGAGAAACGAGAGATGTTCCCAATTTCTTCGATCTCAAGGAAAAAGAAAGAGTTAAAATTCTGTGTAACAAAAAGTCGTCTGGGCTCGACGTGATTCTGATTTGACACAGTTCGAGTGTGTATTCAAATACAATTCGACGCACAGTGGTTTTTGGTGCTTGGGTTAAAGACTGTAGGAATAAGTAACACCGAATCTACACGCTTAATTGGACGTCGACGATCTATTAGCGAGAGAGAGAAAGAAAGGTGGATAAAGGGACTGTAACTGGACGCGTGGAAGATCGTTAACGAATGATTTCCGGATGTGTGTAGATCGAAGGAGACTAACTCCGAGGGAGGAGTTCGAAACGCGTTAAAGCGGTCGCAATTTCGCGAATGAGCCGCATCAGCGCGCGATTACCATACGATTAAAAACAATTCCACGGAGTTTTTTACCGCGATCCCGTGGCCATTAGCCAAATTGCCGGGACATAAGCGCGCGCGGAGGAGAGGGCGAAACTCAATTTTCCGCGCGAGTGAAAAACGAACGTTGGAGCGGGGGGAAAGCGGAGATTGAGTGAGGATGATGGGAAATTATGAAACGAGAGGGGAATGATGGAATTGATAGAGGCGCGAGAACGACTTGGACGATTGAGGAAAAAGAATCTTCGCGAATTCCGTCGTTCGCCACTCGTCGCGAAAAATTGCGAACTTTATCATTCGTCACTCTTCACGAAAAATCCGCGAATTCCATCGTTCAAACTCGTCGCGAACAATCCGCGAATTCCATCGTTTGCACTCGTCGCGAAAAATTTGCGAATTTCATCGTTCAAACTCGTCGCGAAAAATCCGCGAATTCCATCGTTTGCACTCGTCGAGAAAAATTTGCGAATTCTATCGTGTGCATTCCTCGCGAAAAATCTGCGCATTCCGTCGTTTGAAGTCGTCGCGAAAAATTTGCGAATTTTATCATTCGCTACTCTTCGCGAAAAATTTGCGAATTCCATCATTCGCTACTCTTGGCGAAAACTTTGCGAATTCTATCATTCGCTACTCTTCGCGAAAAATCCGCGTGAATTCGCACGGATTTTTTCCATACCACTTATCCGCGTGGAATCGGCGATACGACGAAGGAGAATCGAAACGCTTGGTTCGCTCGATTTATCGGAACAAGCTCTCTCTCTTCGTCGCGAAATGGAAATTAGCCTAAAGTAGAGAAAGCTGTAAATGAGCGAGAACACGTCGAGGCAGACGGGGAATTAAATCGAACGATTTCGAGAGCTAAATAGGGAGGAAAGAGAGAGAGAGAGAGTGGGATATATAATATAGAAAAGCCGCGAAAGGAACGTGAAATATACACACACACACACATATACACAAGCGCGTACACACATATGTATGTATATGGTGTGAACATTTGACAGAGATACACAGAGAGAGAGACACGTATACAACCCGCCTAGGGAACGAGGTAAACGTCATTAAGCCGCGAGGATAAGTTCGGAACATCGACGAGGATTTTATTCAGTTTTTCTGCGAG